TTTCCATCTAATGCAAACCTGCCACTGACAGGGAAGTACAGCAGAGTTATTTCTAGTTTTGAGATTGATGATCCAAGACTGGAAACCAATGCATATAAAATCAGGCTGCATAAAAGACCTCTCACTGCTTAGAGCTTCCGTATTATGTAATTCAGGTTTCACAGTTGTTCTTTGGTCAGAAGCTACAGAACCAAAGTAATGTCTGAAAATCCTGCAAAATCAGCAGAGCTTAAGTAATGAAGGCGAGCCAGCATGTCAAAATGACCTTTAAAAAATAAAAACTTGTTTGGCTTTGTATTGTGTTTGCCAGATGGCTTAACAACCTGCATTTAAACAGCAACCAGTCTGATAGCCTCCACTGCTTCCTGCAATGATGTAAAGGCCTATCACAACAAAAGTAATAAAGCAACAGTTATAAGAAGAGTGCCACAAATAACTTAGCTGCAGGCGGGGCAGGGAAGAACAAACTTTCTCAAGCGTAGAGCAACAGGATTTACCGTAAAGACGGCTTGAAGGTTATTAAGTTTTTCAATTTCCTTTGGCATTCCATTACTTCCCCAACGAACCAGGTAGTTTTCACTACAAAAAAATAAATAAAACAAACTTTGTTATAGCTAGGCTAGGTTAATTAGGTCACATCATCATACTTAATTATGCTAATTAAATCATGAATCACTTTGCCCAGTGGCAAAAAAAAGGGGGGGGGGAGTTCAGAACTTCAGAGAGAAGCAACTGTTGCGTCCAGGTGAAACAAACTTTCAGGTGCTTTGGCATTTCACAGAAAGAAAAACCAGGTAATGATTTTGCTCAGAGTGTTAGGTCAGACACAGGGAACTTGTGGCCCTCCTGATGTTCTTGGACTGCAACTCCCATCATCACTGACCACTGGACATGCTGATGGGAGTTGGAGTCCATCAACTTGTGGGAGGGCCCCAGGTTCTCCATTTAAAGGATTTGCCATATCAGGAGGCAGATGAAGGCAGAAGAGTGGAAACCTAACCCACCAGGAATTTTCCCTGTGCTACCCCACCAAAATTAATGAAGTTGCACAGCGGCTGGACATATGCATGGGATAGCATACCATGATGAGACAATGGACAGTACCATTTCAGACACCAAGTGGGGGATCATTTCCAGTGCTCAGGCTAAAAGGCACCCACCATGCACCAAAGAGATCGGGGGGAAACCTCAAAGGTTCATTTCTCTTCTTGTCAGAAACAGCAGGAGGGTGGAAGCTAGCAGAGTTGAATTTTGCCAGTATGTTCACCTGCCAATTCAGTTGTGAAGGTAGCCTCAATGTGTGGGTAAATGATGTTTTATGAACCTTAATTTATATGCTAGCCAGAGCATAAGCAACAACAAACAAATGTTTCTCATTATAAGAACAAGCAGATACAAGTCTGGACTCACAAACTCCCCATCCCTCCCTCCCTTGCAAGCAGGGGGTGAAGAAGAAAGTTTCTGTGTGGTTTTGCCCAATTATGAGAAACACTGGTTGGATATCCTGGCTTGTGAACAAACTATGGTTTGCAAAAGCCACAGTTTATTCTGTTTGGGTGAATAGCAAATAGAAGCTTCACATCTCCCCCACTCACATGTGAAGAGAAAGGGAAGGGAGAAAAGGAGACCAAATTCTAAGAACTATTCTATTGATGCCTGAGTCTGTATCACACTCTTTCTTTTAGTGGCATTCTTTTTCTTGTTTAGAAGAAAGCATCAGAATAACCACATACCTAATGAACTTGGATTGGTCGGGATCATAGAGGCTCATAAGCAGCTCCGCATCCTCACCGATGTTGCAGACAAAGTTCTTGAAATTGACATAAAGACTGTATGTGTGGGTTGTGTTGAAAATAGACTGTCCCCGCAGGTCTACATTCTGCTGCAAAGACTTGATGGAAAGAAGAGATGAACAAGAAAGTGAAACTTTAGAAGGAAGAGGACTGAGCATATGCCACAGCCAATCTGTCTTGAAAACTATCTATTTTCTCAGCCCGCATCCAAATAAGACTGTTATAGATAGAGTGGAAACCTAACCCACCAGGAATTTCCCCTGCGCAACCCCGCCAAAATGAATGAAGTTGCACAGCGGTTGGACATATGCATGGGATAGCATATGGGATAGACAGCAAAACTGAGAGTGGCGTTTATGTAGAACAAGGACTGCAATTAATTGATTAATTGGTTAGATCCTAGGGGCTTTTTACAACCACAGGACAAGCTTTTTCCATGACAGAGAACAGCATTATCTGGTAAAATCTGTCTTGCAGATGTTAGCGATGTAAGAGTCCTTTTCTTCAAACATTCACTTAGGTCAGCCTTCCCCAATCTGGTGCCCTCCAGATGTTTTAGACTACAACTCACATCACCCTTGGCCACTGGCCACTCTGCCTGGGGCTGATGGGAGCTGTAGTTCAACAACACCTGGAGGGAGCTAGGTTGGGGAAGGCTGCCTTATGGCAGTTTTTTCTTTGTTGCTTTGCCAGGGGTCGGGTAGCTACTATGAATCTGAATCTGTCCCCATTCAGATTGGCTCAGAAAGTGATTTGAATTTTTCCTGATTTGCAGGCAGAACTGGGAACATGTCCAAATTAATCCAATATGAGCAGGAGAGAGATCACCCATGTCTAATCTTAATAGGAAGCTGAAATTATTCATTGACCTGATACTGTAATGCTGGAAAGGCAGCACAGGCCATATTTGCTCACTCAAACCAAAACCGGGCTCGTAGTGCTCTCTGCCAAGACACCCCTGCATCTCATTTGGTGTCACAGTTGCGTATACCTTTTCCTCTTGGATCCTTTCATCTATTCGTTTGGATGCCGTCTCGTGTGCCTTAAAGAGCGCAATTGTGCTGGTAGCATCTGGATCCAGGATGTTGCCATTATCGTCCCGTACCACCAAGTCCAGCCCCAAGATCCTTGCAGGAAAACAAGCAGTCCATGGTAAGTAAGGGAGATGGATTAACAAGGGGACTCATAGGAATCTGAACCTGAGGTGAGGAATGTGGTCTGCAGGCCTCTCTATCTGGCTCACGGGACTCTCCTGAGGCTAGGCCCCTCCCAAGGATGTCCCCCTCGTTCGCCCTGCTCTGTACCCCCTTCAAGTGTTTTTACATTGCTGGAATGTATGCTAAGAAGGAGGATGGAGTGAAGTTGGGGAGGGGGGCAGTGTAAGCAAATCAATGGAGTCCCTAGCGAAGAGAAGCCCTAACACTCTCTGAGGAAACTGAACCAAAACAGTGTATAAATTTGAGGAGAAAGGAGCAGAGCGCTTGTCTTTCTAACTTCAGGCCTTGTACATAGCAGGTTCATTATTGGTGGACAGGTGGATGGGCAGGACCTCCCCACAAACAGCAGAGAGAGAGAGGAGGATGCAGCCCCATAACCGACGGAGAAACCTGAAGTGATGGCAGCGCCGCACATGAAAAGCAGTGTCAAGGAGGCAGTGATGGGCCATCAGCAGCTGCCTGGTCCAGCCACTGGACCTTCCAGCACACCTAAGAACCTAGATATATTGCCAGTGGTGGCTGGTGCCCCTTGGGACTGGTGGGGCAGAAGGCAGGGAGGCCAACAGTAGGTGAAGCCGGAGTCAATGACTGGTTACAAGTAAGAGGGCAGGCAAGTGGGGGCAGGCCAAGGTAAGTGAGGCCATGCCCATTCACTCTAATGCATATTGCTTCCTCCACTTCCCCAAGGTCATCCAAAACTCCTAACATGGCAGCATGGCAGCTGAGGAGTGCAACATGAAAGCGAGGAGGGGGAAACTGAGTGGAAGTATCCCAAAATGATGGAAAGGAGGAAAGACCTTTTGTATCTTGCTACTGCATGAAGTTCTGCATCCAGCTATGCTGCAATGCAGAACGCAGTAAGCAATGTGGCACACACAGGCACATGTTTGCTTGCAGAGGACTTCCCTGATGCCAAGAGGGTCACCTCCACCCACTGAAAGTAAGCTTAAAAGAAGCATCCCACAGCAGTCAATAGAACAGGATGCAGTGTGTGCTCAGTTGTGTTGTATGTGGTGCCCACAGCAGCTTCTGCTGCTTGCCAGTGCGCCCCAGAAGGCTGGTGACCAGACTAAGTAAAAGGGAACAAAAAATGAACAACTATTGCAGAGCAGGTAGAATTAATGAGGTCCATGGCTGAACCACAAGACACAATCAATTAAGGTTCTTTGGCACTGTCTGAGCACCTACTCAAATTTATGACATTTCCCCAATAAAGTTAATTTTTTAGCTTCTTGCTTTCAAGTGGCTTCTTAATTAGTGTATCTGAAAGAGAGCTGACATGATCAATGAGCCATGGAAGCAACCTACAGACCGGACAGAATGTCCAAAGCTTCCTTCAGCTGCAAAGAGAAGGTTACCAATTAACATGCTGAGTGTGCAACGTCTGTCGTGCGTCTCGGGCTCAAACAAGATGCAACAGTGGCAGATATATTTGTCTAAACCGCAACGGAACCAATCGTGTACAGAAAACTGCAACATACTGTGCTGGACCCTTGGTCCAGCAGGCTCAGAATTGTTTGCCGTGATTAGCAGTGTCTCTCTAGGGTGTCAGCCAGGAATCCCTCCCAGCCCTATGTCTACAGAGCCTGGTGATCAAACCTCCATCTTTTGCATGCAGCATAGGAGCAGTACAGTTCTTCCCCATGTAAAGATATCGACAGATAAATAGACAGACAGATAGAAGTTTGTGTGTGTGAATCCCGTAGCCCCTCCCCATGCAAAGAGGCCTGCATAGGAGCAGAAGAAACGTCCTTAAGGCTCATCCACACTTCCTTTGTCCCCTGTGGTAAACAGCAGGTTTTCTTGGGGAAAGCACCGAGGAAAAAGAAAAACCTACTGGACCCATGCCTAGAAAGCAGGGGACAAGTGGAAGAAAATATAGGACAAATGGAAGTGTGGATGAGCCCTTATGCCGAGTCAGACCACTGGGACCGTCCAGTCCTGAACTGCCTGCCTTGACGGGCAGAGGCTCTCCAGCACTTCAGGCCCTTCCTGGAGATTCCAGGGATTAAACCTGGGACCTTCTGCGTACAAAGCAGATGCTTTGCCACCAAGCGGTGGCTCTTCCCAGGCAACGGAACCTGTCTCACATCCTCCACCAACCTCCCTATACTGCAGACATTTCCAGTCTCTGCCACTCTCACTTCTAGTACTAGAGTTTCAGAAAGAGAAAGAGAGAAAAATATCTGAGGTGGGGGGAACAGATTGGGGGGTGAGTGGTGACCATGGGGGAGATTCTGCCCCCCGCCCACACTGCTTTGCTCTGAAAAGAACACACAACACAAGCGGGGACCCCTTTAAAAATCATAGGCAGATGAAGCCTGTGACCATGGGACTCGGCGGGCACCTTTAGCGCCCCCCCAACTCGCTAAGGAACCCACTAACGGGCTCCGAAGTGAAGAGGGGGAAGTGGCGCAGTGCTGTGAGTCAACTGCTATTTCCGTGGAGCGAAGCCGCATAGCCGTTGCCGGAGAGCGCTGCCTTTTTCCTGGGACAATTTGGACTCTAAAATAAGCACCCGTGAGTACTTAGACTTTGAACAACTGGACATTAAATAAGGACCTGCGAGCAGGAAGGAATTGGATCTCAAAAATTTATCTCAATTTGGTACGGAACGGGAAGTTCTAAACAGGAAGTCAGCCTTCCGTTCTTTTGTAGACAGAATAAAGCAAAGACAACGTAAACTAGAGCTCAGGAAATCGCTTTTAAAGGATGGGATTGCATCATTTAAAATTGTGGAACCCCCCTTTGACAGCAGGAGGAGAAGGGGGATCTTTTTTGGACTGTTTAAAGTAAGTTTAAAGTAAAGCAACTTTCCTCCGTCCTGATCCTGGAGCGGGGTGTCAGGACTGACGTTTGAAGTTCATTGACCAGAGACAAACGCTTTTGACAGATAGCTAAAAGAAGAGAAACATAGTGATTCCACTGTTTCCCTTCGCATTTTAAAGGAACAAATATTGACAAAGTATCTCAAAAAGGGAAACTTTGTTGCAAGAACAAATAGAAGTTTTCCCCCTAGAGGGAGACTGTGAAACTGTAACCAACTCCAGGGAGCCGGCAGCTGTTGCAGATTACAATCGTGGGAACAGGCATTTGACCTTGCAGGACAATGTATTCAGAAGCTTTGTTGTGTGCTTTCTATAAAACAAATGCCCTACTGGAACAGTTACATGAGAAGATGAATTTGATGGCGACTTCGACTAGAAATTTTGAACAGGCAGTGGGAAATTTTGAAAAGACAGTGGGAAAATATGTGGAGCCCACCCAGGAATTAAATCAGGAGTGTGTCCTGACAGAACAGGCCCAACAGGAATATGAGCTTTCGGATTTGACAAATGAACTTGGAAAAAGCCAGATTTGGAAAGAAAAAGTTTGGTTTGGCTTGGAAATGGGGGGCTGGATTGACCCCCCTATGCTGGGATGTTTGGACTTTTCAAATCTGGCAATGGGCCATGAGATGTTTGGGATTGTGGGGGCTCTTAATTTTGGAGGGTCTTTGAAACATGCTTTTAAATACCATATGGAATTCAGTGCTGAATATGGAAAAGGGGCTGATCTGTCGAGAAGGGTTAAAAATATTGCCAAGCTGGAGTTACCACGAGCAGGAGACAAGGGAAAATACAGTTACAAATATGAAGAAGAGCTGCGGAAGGGACATGGAAGAGACTTGAGGGCCTCGGATATAAGGTTGCCAGGTTAATGCGCTAGATCGATGGGATAATAAGGACTGACAAAACCCGGAACCAGGAGGAAGGGACGTTGGATGAAGATTGGATCTGTTTGTATTTCTTTTTCTACCATTAGAACTGTTTTATAAAATTGATGAATGTCAGAAAAATGTTGGAATGAAATTACTCGGCTTTAGTAAAGATGTTTAAAGAATTATGAAAGAATATTATGGTTATGAGAAGTTGGTAAGGATAAGATTTAAGTTTTAAGCTTTAAGGTTTATTTTCTTATAGAAAGATAAGATTAAAACAGTTTAGGGTAATGTAATGACAGAATATTATGAAATATGGAAAGGATTTGCTGGGATAATTAATAACTAGGATACAAAGAAAGGGAGGAGGAGGAGGTCAAAGAAAGAAGGTAATGACAGTTGAGGATTCGAGAATAATGAATTTGTTTTTAAATGTTCTTAATTGTTTGTGGTGTATTTTTGTATTTTTTTCTGTCTCTTTTTCTTATTTTTGAATTTGTATTCGTATGGTTGGAAGGGGTTTGTTTTTTTCCTTTTCTACTTTGTTAACTATTTTTATTTTGTATTTTCTTCTGCTTTTATTTTATTTTGTAACACTTTGAAAATTTCAATAAATATCTTACAAAAAAAGAAAAGAAAAGAACACACAACACAAAAATCAGTGCCAATACCCTGCCCTAGAAATGAAGGGGCAAATCAAAGTCTTTAAAAATTGACCAGACTACACAGAGCCGTAGCGAGGTGATCTTGAGCCCCTGGCAGAACCGTCCAGATTGCACCCCCTAGCCATGAAAAATAGAGAAAAACAGAGCCCCCGCATATCATATAAAGATCCTCCATTTAAAACCTTTTCTTATGATGCATTAATCAATATTTTTATTTATAGACATATTTATGGGCATATTTTAAAACCAATTTTGCATGCCCCCTCGCCTCCACCCCTGGTGGGGGCCTCCTTCACCACCCCCTAGCTACAGCCCTGAGACTACGTCATGTCTTAGGGAGAGCTCATGCTACTATAACTCACTTCTGCATGGTATCCTCCTGGTTTTTGCTAATTGCTGCTAAACCTTTGGAAGTGGGTTGCACTATTTAAGAAATTTCTGATTTTGATTGTGCCTCCCTTGCAAGCTCCTGCTTTCAGGACTTTTAATCGGGGGTGGGGTAGGATTCAACAGCAGAGCTGGAAACGTGTGTGTGTGTGTGTATGAGAGGGGGGGAGATCTGTCAGCAGCCTTCGACATGGTCGATCACGAACTCCTGGACCGCTGCCTTGCCGACGTGGGGATCCAGGGCACAGTCCTTCAATGGCTGTGCTCATTTCTCTCTGGTTGGGGACAGAGGGTGGCGCTTGGGGGGGAATTGTCATCGCGCCACTCCTTGGTGTGTGGAGTACCTCAGGGTGCGATACTCTTCCCGATGCTTTTCAACATCTTTATGCGCCCCCTCGCCCAGCTTGTCCGGAGTTTTGGGCTGGGTGGCCATCAGTATGCTGATGACACCCAACTCTATCTGTTGATGGATGGCCATCCTGACTCGGCCCCAGACACACTGACCAGATGTTTGGAAGCTGTGGCTGGATGGTTACGTGGGAGCCGGTTGAAGCTAAATCCTTCAAAGACAGAGGTCCTATGGCTGGGACGGGACGATATGGGATTGGGGGGGCAACTCCCATCTCTTGCGGGGGCGCAATTAGTGCCAGCACCGTCCGTTAAGAGTTTGGGTGTAATCTTCGACACTGGAGGCGCAGATTGCAGCTATAACAAAGGCAGCATTTTTCCATCTCCGCCAAGCTAAGCAGTTGGCTCCTTACCTCTCTCGCCCTGACCTAGCCACTGTGATCCACGCGACGGTCACCTCCAGACTGGATTATTGTAACTCGCTCTACATGGGGCTGCCCTTGAGACTGACCCAGAAACTCCAGCGGGTGCAGAATGCTGCAGCGAGACTCCTTACGGGGTCCTCGCTGCGAGATCACATTCACCCGGTGCTATACCAGCTGCACTGGCTCCCGGTGGAGTACAGGGTCAGGTTTAAGGTGCTGGTTTTAACCTTTAAAGCCCTATATGGCCTAGGACCCTCGTACCTATGGGACCGCCTCTCCTGGTATGTCCCACAGAGAAACTTACTGTCTTCAAATAAAAACATCTTGAAGGTCCCAGGCCACAGAAAAGTTAGGCTGGCCTCAACTAGAGCCAGGGCTTTTTCGGCTGTGGCTCCGATCTGGTGGAACACTCTGTCACAAGAGACTAGGGCCCTGTGGGACTTGACATCTTTCCGCAGGGCCTGCAAGACAGAGCTGTTCCACCAGGCCTTTGGCCAGGGCACAGCCTGACTCCCTCCTTCGGCAATCTTCGCGGAGCTCTGGCCCAATGGTTGCCAGTGGTTTGTTTTGAATTAATTTTATAATGAATGATTTTAGAGTGTTGTGTTGTACTGTTGTACTGTTTTATTGTTGTTAGCTGCCCTGAGCCCGGCTTTGGCTGGGGAGGGCGGGATATAAATAAAATTTATTATTATTATTATTATTATTATTGGCTAGGTGTAATAACATTTTGCACCACAGCAGTAAATCAATCAATAAACACACAGAAGTTGCATGGCACATGCTACACATATATGCACACACATAAAAGACAGGCCAAAACATCGCCATAGAACAGAGCTTAAGAGTTAAAATATTCAGCACCTGTTCTTAAGGTCAGGGCTTAGCGTACAAACAAAGCTGTGCTCATTTCCTGGATGTGCTGCTCATCACAGAATCAAGGGTGAAATCAGGTTGCCTGGACATTTCAGCTACAAGAGAATTTTAGAAGAATGCAAATTCTTTAGAAGAATCAAACCTGAGACTTCCCCCCCGAGGTATGCTCCTTCCCCTACTACCTCCTCTGCCCTGTATCCCTGAATGACTTGCTTTCAAAAAGTATGGGGGGGGGTGGAGAGAGAGAGAGAGAGAGCACAAAGAGAGCGAAATGGAGAAAATTAAAAATGGCACCTTTACTGCAGAAAGGACACAGTTTGGCATGTCCAAACAAAACATTATTATCAAGGGTTATCCTATTTCAAAAAGATGCTTCTTGTGCAAACACAATATCCTAAGCATGCTTCATCACAAGGAACACCAATGGACAGAGTGACTCCTGAGAGCCATACATAAGCAATCTACTGTCCACATTCAGATCCCTTGCTAGGAGACAGGACTGAAGCATCACCTACCTGTTGCCATAATCTATTTTGGCTGTGACTTTCTTCTTGAGTTCAGCCAGCTCATCTTTGGGAAGGGTGCCGGAGAGGATCTGGGACCGCCATTCAATTAGGCTATAGGTCATCTGCTGCACTTGGCGAAAGAGAGACTTCTTGTTCTCCTAAAGC